TTAGCAAGGTGTCCATCAATACTATATTTCTTTCTCTCTCCCTTTTTTTAAACATCTTTATTGGAGTATAATTGCTTTACAGTGGTGTGTTAGTTTCTGCTGTATTACACAGTGAATCAGCTATGTGTATACATATATCCCCATATCCCCTCCCTCTTGTGTCTCCCTCCCACGCTCCCTAGCCCACCCCTCTAGGTGGTTACAAAGCACCGAGCTGATCTCCCTGTGCTATGCGGCTGCTTCCCACTAGCTATCTATTTTACGTTTGGTAGTGTATATATGTCCATGCCACTCTCTCACTTCGTCCCAGCTTACCCTTCCCCCTCCCCGTGTCCTCAAGTCCATTCTCTACGTCTGCGTCTTTATTCCTGTCCTGCCCCTAGGTTCATCAGAGCCCTTTTTTTTTTTTTTTAGATTCCACTTATTTTTATCTCACCATCTTCCTCACCTGAAAAACAATAAGACCTATTGACTTTTTGGTCATGACCGTGTTGCAAAATGTTTCAGTGCAGAGTATATTTAAAATGAAAAATCTACAATTCAGTTTGAGAGGATTAATTTCACAGCTATAAACAATCATTTTATGATTAAGACTTATGGTCATGGTGGCAATTATATTCATCAAATGTGTTTGCAACAAATGGGAGTAAACATCCCTGAAATCACAGACAGTTTACTTTTTTCAAAATTATTAGTAATGTCTCTGAAACATCATATAGAGTATCTAATGCATCTATAATTTTTATATTTTCAAAGTAACTGTGAGAATGAGATTTGTTGAAATAGATTGAAAAAGAAGAAAATTGAAGTAAATAAGATTGAGGGTCAGGGCAGATATGAGATTTATATTTTTCTAGACCAAATAATTATGATCTGACTCAGTTTAAATTGGACTCCATGAAAACTGGTCCTATAAAAGTTGCCTAGGCAAGGCTAATTTGTGTTCAATGAATTTTAGATATTTTCCAATCTTTTTACCTTCTTAAAAGCCTGACTAATCGGAAGGAAGTGTAATTCGGCATAGGGTAAGAACATGTCTTTGGATGAGTTGAAGTTGGCAGGGATGTACTTGTCTAGTGAAATATGTTGTTAGGTGCCAGCACCTCTCCCAGCCTCTGATAAGAGCACTCACCCTCTCGTTAGGAAAGTCACCTCCCCAAATTCTTTACATTGAGATTTAGTGGATGCTGCCAGCTTTTTACAGAACCTCTTCTTCCCAGCCACAGTGACTGGGTGAGGAGTAGGCAGGTTTGGACAACGGTGGTACCTAATCCCACAGCTCTAGGCATTGGTTTGGGAATAGGCATATATGACCCAAATCAGTCTTCCCCTATTTTTCAAAAACAATTAGAGCTAATAAAAGAGTGGTAATCCTTCTTGGAGGCCGGCAGTTCTAGGAAGCCACGAGGAAGAGCAGTGCAGGAAGTCCTGTGTGGAAGAGGTAGGCCTCCATAGGAGATACCGAATTGCCAGGAGAGACAGAAAGCAGAGTGAGAGTCCTGAACTTGAACTAGCTCTCCTAGACACCCAGCTTTGGAGTTGGAGCTGGCACTATTGTTTTTGGCTGAGATTCGGAAAGACCAAGGCCTGGGATCTGGACGGTTGAGAAAAGATGGCATTGTATCTCTGATTGCACAGAGGCTGGACAGTATTTACATACTCATTTAGAAATCTTGGAAAACCCAAAGATAAGTTTACCTCTCAGGTTGAGTTCAGTACTTAACTTGCTTATTTGTGTTTATTAGTGATGCTTTAAAATACCTTATTTATGTTTGTCTTTCATTCAGATGCAACTAATATGCTGCATGTGTAATGGATGTTTCAGGCAGAAGCTGAAATTACCAACAGGCTGTATGGAAGACAACTGAAAATATGACCTTTAAATTTTTCGGTGTATATTTTTATATTGCTAGTACTCATTCTATATAGTTTTACCTTTATAAAGAGAATTCCTGCTATGATAACCAACAAGGATTTAGTCTTGTATCTGGGCACTTTTATTGTGCTACATGTATCTGTTGTCACGTAGAAACATAAAATATATATTATAACACACACACGCACACACGCGCGTACGCGCACACACACACACACACACACACACACCCCTGCAATGAAACCCATAATGATGCAATTTGCCGTTACTGAAACTAAGTAATCATCCACTTACCACAGGTTCTTTGCAAAATATTCTAATGATAAATGCAAGCTTACTGGTAAATTTTTAAAAGTCAGTTTAGATGACTTTTGTTGCAAAAAGTCCATCTTGCACTGGTTTTTATGCTGCCCATTTATGAAAACAATTTCTATCTGTGGCTTGCCAGGAGTCTGTTGAAGCATCCCACAATCATCAATGTTCATATGTAGATAGACATATTGCTATGTTTGACATCAATAGATGTAGCATTTTCATACCATACAGAAAGTAATGGTGCCTGACATTTCTAGGTTGAAAGACGTGCTTTGTTTCTTGCACTAATGGAAATAGATTTTGTGACCTTCTTGTTTACTTCAAGATTGTATGTAAATGTTTCCATACAAATAGGGAGGTTTCTTTTGATTATCTCATGGAAGTTGGGAAATAAAGGTGAAGGGAGAAAATTGCCAAAGTAAAGATGATTTTAAAAATAGTTTAAATTCTATGTATCAAAGATAGAATTGAGATACCAGTAGTACTATTTTTTTCTGTTTTTATAGATGGAGAATTGATACAACATTTCCATAAGAAACTAAAGGGTAGAATACTTCTGAATAGAGATATTCAAACAGCTGAAATATACCTATTCCCTGGTATCATTTCATATTTAGGTGTTATTTTGTTCTCGAGGACAGAATAAAAATCCCATTACTTCGATTCTGAAGAAAAGAGCCCTGACAAGGTCAGATGGGGCAGCATTAGCACCCAGGAATTTCACAAAGTCCACTTGAATCAACTATATTTTGACCAGCTTCCATTTTCTGGTGAAGCACTGGAGTGTTTACCAGGGTGACATGATTTTTGTTACCTGAATGTTTGGACATGGTAGGGAATCAGTTGCTACAGAAAGACTTAGCAGTTGAACAAGTGTGGCCTGAGGTAGATGGTGTTTATATCCTGGAAGAGAAAACTGCATTTTTTATTCTTAGGTAAAATGTGGATGATACTAATACTCTAAAATTGTGAGGCTGACAGGCTGTGTTCTAGTCACTTAGTACGGTGGTCGGTGCTCTAAGGCAGTGGAAGCAAGCGGGTGATGAAAAGAATGAAACTTTTCAAAAATAACTTTTATAGAAGCTTTCCTTATCATAGACCTTAGTTTGTATTTTTTAAAAAAGAATTCAGTGTTTATGGTCAAGTTGTTTTAATTACAATGCAGATATTTTAGTTTTTACTCAAAGGAATACAAGTTTGTGTAGAAAATTTAGAATACCCAGAAAAGTAAATATAAGAAAAAAATTTCTGCACATTATCTCATCATCCAGAAAAAAATCACTGTTAAAATATGGACAATATTTCCTTTCAGTCATTTTTCTATGCAGAGGCACATTAAAAAATCAGTCTTTTCATAGTATAAATTATGGTGTTCCTTCCTTTTTTTGCCTTTTAAATGGGAAGTTATGAAATAAGCATTTCTCCTAATTAACTGTTATCTAAAAACATGTATAATGGTTACATGATATTATATCCTATGAATGTGTAAAACTTTAATTTTGTTGTTTCGGGACACTTACATAATTTATAATTATTTGATGTATAAAATGGTGCTCCAGTTTACATTTTAGTAGCAGTTTGTCAATATCTAATAGAGTTTGAGCCGTGCATATATATGGTATAGCCTTGCAATGTAATTTTACTTATATACTTGAGAGAACTATTGCCTATGTGTTATAGAAGGGGAAATGTACATTGCTGCATTGATTATAATAGCTCATTGTTCTGTCAGTAGGGTGTTATATAATACATTGGCGTCTATTTATGCCATGGACCAGTGCATAGATTTGCACATCGGGTACAGCACATGGTAGCACAGTACAGTGAGTATAAATTGAACAAACCAGGTCTGTAGTGAGTCAATGTGCACCAATTCCCCAAACTTCAGGTTAGGATCAAAAAAAAGTGACAAAAGGATTCATTTTATATCATTTATGAAAAAATTTTAAACACAAGTTTATTACATATTGTTTATGGATAACTCAGCAGCACATTTACCCACCTAATAGACTTATTGACTGATGCTAGGGATGACATAGCCATGTTTTATTTTAAGCCAGTCCTCCCATTAGTATAAAAGATCCTAGCCCTTTTCTCTACTCAGGGATTTTGCTCCAGTAATTCTCCCCTGTCTCTTCTGCATCATCAATTTTTCCCTCTTTTCTGGACCACTTCCATCATTTAAAAAAAATCTGTAGGGCTTCCCTGGTGGCGCAGTGGTTGAGAGTCCGCGTGCCGATGCAGGGGACACGGGTTCGTGCCCCGGTCCGGGAAGATCCCACATGCCTCGGCGCGGCTGGGCCTGTGAGCCATGGCCGCTGAGCCTGCGCGTCCGGAGCCTGTGCTCCGCAACGGGAGAGGCCACAACAGTGAGAGGCCCGCATACCGCAAAAAAAAAAAAAAAAAAAAGCACTTTATTTATCTAATTTCATACACACACACAGACACATACATATATGATGCATGGAAATGTAGGCAACTTGAGTAATAATTGGGGAATTGAATAAGTGTTGACAAAAACTAGTTAATCTTTGTTATGCCATATTAGTTTACGTTCTAAGCACTTTGCATGCACCAACTCATTTAATCCTCACACTATGTTAGATAGATGCTATTATATAATACTAGTATAATAATAATAATAGCAATAGTTATTATTATTCAACAGATAAGGAAATCCTTGAGGCATAAGAGAGATTCCGAGACCCACCTAGAGTTACACAGAAGGAGGTGGAACAAATCTGGGGGTCAGCTTTAGAACTGCTCTGCTAAGTGCTAGAGTTAATATCACGCATTTTGTGACTTCAAGGGACTTGAACGCTGCTATGAAGATGGTCGTGTCTACACGTAACAGGCACCACAAAGCGCTGGAATGGAGCTGTGGGTAGGAGGATGGCTCTGTGCTCAGAATCTGCTGCCACCCGCCAAGCAAACAGGGGCCAAGTTCTCAGCCCTGCAAAACTTCAGTGATCCATTTGAAAAATGAGAGAGTGATGAAAGCCTCTTCGTAGATTTATGAAGACGCTCAAGTAAGATAAACCATCTCAGGCACTGAGCAGAAGGTCTGTCACCTGGGGACCTCTTCATAAACATCAGCTACTCTTTTTGTTCCAGAGCATAGTGAGATGTACAGTCTGTCCCCTGGAAACACACATTTAGCGATCAGCCAAAGAAGTCAAAAAGCTTGACAGGAGCTAACTTGGGCCCGTGACTTAGGAAAACGCACAGTGTGTTGGGAGCTCTCAGGAGAGAGATCGTGTCTGGTCCTGGGACTAAGCAGTCTTCGTGGTGAAAGCGGTATTTAGAAGGTCTCGGCAGGTGCTCACCAGGTCCATGTACTGATCTCCTTGGAACCTGAAAGTAGCGTGAGCCACAGTACAGAGGCTGTGCTTTATTCCCACCCTGCCCCCCTGCAAAAGAAAGAGGCAAAGATGCACTGACTTGAGAAAACTCAAGGCTCAGAGTAGTAAGCCTAAGGCTCTAGAGCCCAGCTCTTGTGGCCTGTGTCCTGGGAAGCCTCCCCTGAACCCTCCACTCAGGAGCACCCTCCTCTGTGCACCTGTGTTTGCACAGCTCTAAAAAGCTGCTGACAAAGCCTCGTCATTCTCCACGTGTGTGTCTCTGAGTTCCGCGAGGGCCCACGTGCCCATTGGGCTCATGGTGCTCTGGGAGCTTCTCTTGAAGGAATGAATTGAATTTTGCTTTGGTTCGAGCAAGTAGAAAATTGAAGATGACCGGGACTTACGACTTCATAAAGGCCCTTCAGGCCTGACCCTGAAGACAGGGAAGAGAAAGCTCTTGACAGTGGAGGCCTTTCTGTTTTTATTAAAGAGAGGATGGGATGGGAGAGGAGAAAAAAGTGTTTCCAGGAAAGTTTTTTTAAAAAAATCCTTTCGTTCTTTATATCACCGTTGCTTTCATAGTCTTAGCAAATAAATATTCACCAAGTACCCACCATGGGCCAGGGACTGTGGAAGGTGCTGTAAGTACATTGAGGAACATGACAGTCCAGACCTCCTGGCCATGCATGATAGTCCTTTGTCCTGTCCTGCACACAGATATATTGTGTCCTCATATAATCTGGTCCCATTTAAGGCATATTTCTCCAGATTTAGGTAAAGCAAAGTGCGACATGACAGAGACTTTCATTGGGTCCTTGGAACCTGCAACAGTCTCTTGATGACACCAGCCCAAAGGGTCAACTATCTTGAATGTGTCATGGTTTGATAGGTGTTAATTCATCCGCGAGATTCTCCTCCAAACTAGAAGTGGAATAAGAAATAATCACTTCATCTTTGGAAACCGTCAAAGCTCTAGGATGAACGTGAACACTGAAATAATTGTAGGACGCCTGTTCCTATTACCTGGTAGCTGTCTGTTCGCAGCGTGGCATCCTGGGTTTGTGCCCTTTGGAGATTCAGGGCGTTCTTTAGTGATTAGGACTCATTATGTTTGTGATAGCTATTCACGCACGTTTTTCAAAATGGATGTGTGCTTGAATTAGGCTGGATTGAGTTTCCTTTTTCTTTCCAGGTGAGCCTAAAACTCCAAGGGGGGGCGGTGGGAGTGGGGAACCCACAAGAGAGTAGGAACATCAGATGATTCCCCAGTTCCCTCTATTTGTTTCTAAGTAATGCTTTTCACCGCAGAGAGTACATGACTACATATGTGCGGGCCCTGCTTGTTGCGAGCCCCGAACAAAGAATCGTGCTTCAGATTTCAATGCGTTTGGACCATAATGTGCTGCTTTCTGGATAATGGGCTCTTGGCATTGAAATGAAAAGCAAACATATCATTAGGAAGGCGCTCCGTGAAAACTGTCTGTCATATATCTTAAGCTTCATTAGTTTAGATTAATGACTTACTTGATATACATGACGGTAGGTGAAGCAAATCTTTGTTTATTTATTGACAATTAAATGTGGTGGTGACATGCATAAACAGGCTTCCCTCTGATTAGTACCATGTTTTAAAGTAACTTTGTGTTATAAAACTTGTTAACTACAGTATCATTTTATTGAGCACTGCTGGGTGAATGATGTGATTGTCATTGAAAGGCATCAATATTGCAGCCATTCCTGGCAGTCACTGGAGCATTGTGCTCACAGATTGGAGTTGATATCTCATTGTACACATTCAGGGACCCAGAAAATGCCCAGTTATTGAGCCTCTGCCCTGGGAGGACAATGTTCTATTCATGGAATCTGGGTGCAAGGTCACAGACAGAAATCTGAAGGAAGGATGAGATTCACATTTGCTTCGGGGTTTTGCCGAGGACCTCCCTGAAATTCAGTGTCTGGAAGGCATGGCGCTTCCCCCAGAGCATCCTACTACAGAATGATACTTCATAACGCAATGCAAAGGAGGCTATAAATAAATACAGCCCGTTCCAATTAGAAAGCTTCTCTAGGACTAAGCAAGCTTCTCTGAAGAAGATGCCGATGCGTCTGATATTACACGGCTTCAGATGACATAAGCAAGCTTCCAAGAACACCTCTCTAGCAGACGTACCATTTTGGGGTGAGGAATGATGAGAAAAAGGGGAGAAGGGCAATGTGGCATAAAATGTATCTGCATGCTAGTCTCACTGAAACATTTGTGGTTTGCCTTTCCACGCATTCCAGAGTTGGAGGCTGTCAGGGATAATCAGCCGTTCCCATCACGGACACCCCATGGTTCTCCTTAATAGCTCTCTTTTATGTGCCATCAGTCCTCAAAAATATATTTAGAAAAGATTTATTTAGAAAGAGGCATAAAATACAATCCATGTTGCGGTTGAGTATTACAAATGATTTCTGGACTCCATTCTGTGCCGTCAGGCTCTGTAGAATTTTCATATAAAGTAGAAAATAAACTCTCAGCCAGCTTGAAAGAGAACTCCTTTGACAAAGGAAACCAGCGTATTCTTTTTTTATTTTTTTTGCTGTACGCGGGCCTCTCACTGCTGTGGCCTCTCCCGTTGCGGAGCACAGGCTTCGGATGCGCAGGCCCAGCGGCCATGGCTCACGGGCCCAGCCGCTCCGCAGCATGTGGGATTTTCCCAGACCGGGGAACGAACCCGTATACCCTGCATCGGCAGGGGGGACTCTCAACCACTGCGCCACCAGGGAATCCCCAAACCAGCTTATTCTATAAAGCCTCTGACAACATCGCATGAAGGCAGATCTCTCTGGATGCTAGAGTCCAGGAAAGCATCATTGCTCTCCTCAGGAAACATTGGGCAAAAACTGCACACCTGGTGATCTTTCCTGTGGAATCGAGGAGAGTTTGAATGTAAAGGAAAGAATGAGGTTAAACCAAGCATTGTCTCATTTTACCTACAGACCCTGAAAACCTCATACACAGACCTTGTCCTAAGATGACTTTGCAATTGTTTTGTTCATAAGTGATGTTAATATTTCATTTAATATGCAAAATCAATCCCTATGATATAGAGGAGTAACTAAACTCTGCTTCTTGAATTACCCTTTTCCTTTTCTTCTCATTAAATGAGCCATTCCCGCCCTCCTTACCCAGCCTCCCCCTTCACCCCTCCTGGCGCCCCCCTCACCAATCTGTATTACAACCTCTCAACAGTCACCTTAGCCTGGGACGTTTGAGCTGGTGTGTCCTACCCTGCAGACACGGTCTTCGGATGGCAGCGTTTGAACTTTATATGGAATATAAACAATAAAAATACTGAATTACTATGTTTACACGTGAAACTAATATAATAGAGGAAGTCAGCTATACTTCAATTCCAAACAAAAACAAACAAAACTTGCCCTCATTTTATATCCATCTTCTATCAAGTTTGCCCTTTGGGATAGAGCTAACCTCTCCCAGAGGAGCAGGGCCAACACCTGAGGTCTGGGTGCAGGTAACGCCCTCAGGGGCTGGGGATGAACATGCGCCCTGGGGATGAAAAGGTAACCTTCATCTGTGCCCCGCTGCTGACTCTCTCTTCTTCTTCCTGGATTTAAAGACTTGAAAGTCCTGCTAAAACAGTGATGTGGTGAGTTTTGGGTTTTCCAGACCCTTCACCACTGAGCATTTCCATGTTTCAGCTTTCGTATAAAAAGTTGAAATTCTCACGTAATAATCACTATCGTCAGTTGGCAATGAAGAACACTTGGGTGACCAGCCTCTTATTCCTTTCCATGGTAGGTCCCATACTTATTTTTCAAATGACAGCTTTCTAGTATAGAAAAGTCTGTTTATATTTGGAAAGAGGAAAATGTTCAGAGTTTTTGGAACCTAGGAAGATGTGCACCGTCACTGTAAAATTTTTGTGGGTCCATTTATTTACCTACACATTGAAACTTTTTCTTCTTTGTGATTTTGGAAACATGTTTTGATATCGTATCAACATCTTTTGTGAAGAAATAGCAATCTTCATAGAATTATCTGTGGTTTATGTTTATGAATGAGGTTATTTTATAATTGGGAACCGTTAGATTGTAATATGTATATGAAATAATGTAAGGAAACTAGTTTCAAGTCTATTGGACAATGGTGCTGAAACTAACATGCAATTATGTGAAAAAGATTAGTTGATAAGACTTTGTATTAGACCAATAGTAGGAGAGCTCTCACAAACCGAGATCCTTACCAAACCACAAAATTAAATGGAAAACATCTGCAACTTCAAGGTAACAAACATTTTTTTCAAGACAAGCAAACGAACATGTTAGACTTTCCTAATGCCAGATTAAACTGAAGCTCAAAAACTATTTTTTCTCTGAGGACCTTTGTTATATTTGTCCATGTTTCACAAACTCTTCATCGTTAGGCTTGATATACCTGTTCGAAGGAGATAGTCACACACTAACCAGGAGCTCCTAAAGCACTATTTTTTCCCTCACATGCTTTGCTTATGTCATTTTGCTCTCCTTTGTTCCTAAGACTCAGCTTTCTTTTCAAAATGACACCCTCTTTTCTCTGTTGTGGTGTTCTGAGAATTAGAAGGCAAATGATCAATTACAAATTGAAGGTTAACAGAGAAATGCATTGTACTTGTGATTTGATGAGAAAAAACAAATGACGAAATGAGAACAAATAGCAGTATTATCCCATAGGAAAGAGCCTTGCCTATTGATCTATTATTTCCCAGCTTGAAATGTGCCACTATTGTACTTCCACTTGATTATGAACCTTTTTATCACTTCCCCTGGTTGATTCAACTTGAGTGCTTCTGACATTTGCAAAGTTCCTCACATATTCTGCTGAGCAGCAGGGGAAACCTTGTTAATGAAGAAATAACAAGCTGAAGATCTGAATAAATATTTAGCCGATTGAAAGGAGGTATACAGTTAATTTTTTTTTTTTTAATGCTGACAACTGAGGAAACTCACTAACATGCTTTGCTTGTGTTAGCTAAAAATGGGTTCTAGCGGAGTTTTTTACTGAACCACAGGGCACTTTCATTTCCTGATTCTATTATAAACTAAGTGGCCACCTGAACCTGCCAATGAACTTGTCCTATTGTATTTTTCTATTTTTAATCCTGAAGGAGTAAACACATTTCTCATCAGATGTGTTACAGAGTCCATTGGGGAGATTAATGAAGGTGCCATTGGATTATTACAGAACCATTCATTTATAAATGTGTCCTTTCTGAAAGGATATCATTAATAATAGCAGAGTTTTCTTCATTCCACAAATCTATATTATAAAAGGGTGTGGCTATTTTTTTTTTTTTTTGATACTTGCTACGGTGGCATGGAAAACGATTTGGATTTTACGCCTGTTTAGGCTGTGTTTTCAGTCTTTATATATAGATTCTGGTCTCATAACCAAGGTGATGTTTTATGGGACTCACAGCAGTAGCTGTGAGTAAAAGCAGAATGGTTCCTTCAAGATTCAAGGATTAGTTACAAGAGTTCTGTGGGCTTGGTTTAGCTCTTCAAGGAATGGTTGCTGGTGGACATGGGCACCCATAGAAGCTCCTAAATTATATCCCACCGTGTCCTAATAGGTTCTGTCCCCTGGGGGAGAGCTTCCCGTGTGTGTGTGTGTGTGTGTGTGTGTGTGTGTGTGTGTGTGTGTTTTTAAGACGTGAATCTATGAATCTATATATGCTTCTAGAGCATTTTTAGCCCACGTGATTTAATGTCCTGAGCTGAGAATATTTGAAGCTATCTTCCAAAGAACACTCCCAATACCAAAATCTTTGAAGAAAGCTCTTCTTTGAACAAATGTATTAAGAGCGAAAATGAGGAAGGATGAAGTGCATTTGGGCATGAATGTTACTTATTTTCTGCTTCCACGTGTGATAGAATGTCCAGAATCATAGCAGCTAAGGTTGGAGGGTAAACTTAGAATTCATATAGTCTAAGAACCCCAAGAGATGCTTGAATGCCTTCTAAAATATCCTGGCAAAGTCTCCAACTAAATAAATAACCCCAGGCACAAGGAGCAGATGTCTGTTTCTCAGAGAAGCCTACACAATTTTGCACGACCATTACTGTTGGAAAGTCCCTCTTTATACTAAAATTTACCTTTTCTTACATTTACCAAGATCTTAGTTCTGTCTTTTGGGCATAGACAAAACAGGTATCCTCTTACTTTGCAAACTACCCCAACTAATACTTGAAAGTAGCAGTGATGTTCCTCTTTTATATACTAAATATCCTTTATTCCTTCTAGATCAGTGTTTCTAACTTCACTTACATGAGATTCATTGGGGGAGATTAAAATGCAGGTAGTTTCCCCAGAGTATTAGATTCAGTAGGTCTGTGTTTGAGTCCAGAATTCTACTCACTCAGGAAATGTAGGTACTGTTATTATTCATGTTCTACAAATGAGGAAACTGAGGCAGAGACAGTGAGCAATTTGATCAGGAGCTCATTCTTGTGGCAGAGCTAGGATTTGAACTTCAGAACTTAACCGGTGGCTTTCACTGTCATCGGTATAAAAAGGGCATAAGATAGCAGTAAATAGTCAAGGATCTTAAATTATGGTATAAGAACTTTGGACTTAATCTACCAGTTATGAGTGGTAGTAATACAGTAATTATTCTTTAACATACTGAATATTTGTATTCACCATAATGCTTACTCAGGCAGTGTTTACTGAGCTTTCTTAGAACACAAATTCTGCAGGATTTTAATAATGTTGCTCAAAATAAGATAAAAACAAACAAAAAAGGAGAGATTTAGTCTTCATATAACTTTGTGGAATAGTAGGTTAAAAAAAGCTAAGTGGGTTTCTTAACTGTAGTGCTTATGAGAGACTTTAATATGTTCATATCTGTTTTTACACTCAGAGCATAATAGATTATGTGGGCTTATCAAATTTATTTGACAAATGAAGGCTTCTGTCTCTTTTCCTTTCTTTTTTAAAGGAAGATCTCCTGAGGGAAATATCTTAGAAAATTCTTTAAGGAATCCCTACTAAACTATGCATTGAACATTTGAACACAGAGCAGCCATAACTTCTGGTCACTTCCCTGGTTCTTTAGCTCCCAGTAGTTCCCCTAAAAAAGTTAGTTTCCCGACAGCATTGAAGTAAGCATGGCTTTAGAGTTTTGAAAAAGTTACTTTACATTAAAAAGTGCACATAGGCAGCCTTGCAAGTCTTTGCGGTAGACTAGTCTGAAAGAATCTCGGAGAAGGAGAGCCACAGAAGTTGGCAGCGTTGTCCAGATGGAACTAAGAGATGAAGGGCAGGCAGTTCAGATCTCAGGCTGTTGCAGGCCTCCCAGCACAAGAAGATTAGAACGTGGTATTAAAGGAAATGGTGAAATAGCGGTGTATTTGAGACATATGAAAGATCACCAATGGGAAGTAGTAAAGATTGGCTGTTGGGAGTAAAGGAAGAAGAGCCGAGCAGGAATTCAAGGTCTCAAGACTGTAAGACTAGGGAAAAAATATTAATGTTGATAGAAATAGGAGAGTTTGGCAAGTTATACCAGATCCTGGGATGGGGTGAGGAGGAAAGGGAAGAAAGGATAAATGTTAATCGAGCACTTACAACGTGCTCAACATTTATTCCCCTCTGTCAAAATTGATAAGGTTTTA